GAGTTGATGAAGTTGCTAAAGAGCTACAAACTATGTTGCGACGGTTATAATATACACGTATTTGATTATGTACAATATCACGTACGATAGATATGTATATATATATATATATATATATATATATTACACAATTGGGTAAAAATAAAATACAATTTTGCTAGCTTTTATCAATAATTACATAATATTACCTAACCGTGCACGTCATTAGGACGTTTGAAGTTTTTGTTTATTATATACATTTTAAGTTATAATATAGGTAGGTAACGTCAAAATATTAGGAATTTCGTGGAGATTTCATTTCCTAGGGACAGAGATTTTTTTTCATGGTATCTTTTGTCCATTAACTTACACATTTTGAACTCAGGGTTGGAATGGCCCGGTGAGTTACCCAGTAAAACTCGGTAGGCCACAACAATTTTAGCCCGTTTAAATGATGAGGCTGCTGAGTGAAAATTCGTTTAGAGTTTAAAGTTGAAAAACTGGAGTCTAAGTGTTGAACTTGCACACACCATAGTATATGGTCGTAGACTGTAGCCTATAAGTCATAGGCGAATCTACAGGTGTACCAGGGCACACCCTGCGACTCGTATAAACCTGTGTAGGGCCCATAATATACTCATTTCAGTTACAATGGTATTGAGTCTAAACATTAAACAATTTGTATTTTAATTTTAATATATTTTTATGGGTACAAATATTGTCAATAAATATTATAGTGATAAGCATAAATGATAAAAGATCAGCAATATTTTCAAGAAAAGAGAAAACATGGCTGTTTATTTATTGCACGGCTATAGTCGTAATTTATAGCCATAATCATAGTTATTTTATGTAATTTAATTTTACCAGTAATTATCATTTTTATGGTTATTGACAAAATGAAAAATACTTTATTTATTATTTCGTATTAARTATTAACATTTAACACAGAAGTATTAATAGTATAATACCATTTCACCTATATTACTAGATACCAGTTATATTTTAAATGTGTACCTACCAGCAATTTGTATTCCTACAATAGTTCACAAAATTAAATTAACTTAACTTGTTTAAATGTAAAATTAACTCAAGTTAATTAAAAGTTAATTCAAAAGCTCCTAAAGTTATTAATTAAGTTAATAAACATAAAAAAAAACTTATTAAGTTAAAAAGTTAAATTAACTTAACTTTTTAACATAACTTAAACGTATTAACGCGTTAATGCCCAGCCTTGCCTAAAATATAATATTAGGTATAATCATAGGCACCCGCAGGCGTTACCCAGGTTAACCTGGCAAGCTGGGGCATTTGCCCCCCTGGTTTTTTCAAAATATTTTTTTTAATTGAATGTTTTAAGATAAATTACTATATACTATACAACAAATTTAAAGTATAAAATAAGTTGTWATATAATAAAATATAATATATTGTATACGAGTATAATAAAAAAGGTWATTATTTTAAAACACCTAGTAAAATTATAATATTTATCTTCAAATCCTAACATTGCCCCCTCCCCCCTAGAAAAATTTCTGCGGGCGCCTATGGGTATAATATATTTCATACAATYCTTTGTTACCTAAGAATGATAATAAAATAAAGCTATATAATATTTAATACAATTCTTTGTTATTAATAATAATAAAAATAAGATGTTATATTAAACTTCCAAGAATTTTAAACATAATTGATTAAAAATTTAATTGTTGGTTGTAAGTATGTCCAAAAAAAATAATTRAGTAACATATATTGAACTTTGCAATAGTTGTAGTTTATTAAATTGAATAATTTTGAAACATTACATGTGCATTTTACAGCATGAAAAGTAGCATCTAAAATAGGTAATAAAAATTAATCTTAATAATATTATTTAATATTATTGATGTTATTTCAAATGGGAAACATATTTTAAACGTGTGATAACTGAGAGGTATTTTGAACTACAGAGGGCCTTTTTAAGGTAAAGGGCGAAGGCACACTCTGCTATGAATTCCTAGATTCGCCTATGGGTATTGTTGATATTAAGTTTGTAAGTGGGCCGATAAAGCACAAAAAACTCGGTGGGCCCTATTTGTCTAATCTGATTTTGGTCACTGGACGTCAATACATTATAATTATTCATTTATAATCGTGTATACAATGTTCAATGTTGACTTGAACATATTCATAATTTTGATTAGGCATGAGATTACATTAATTATTAATTATATTACTCTTGCACAACCTTTAATAAATTCAAATAATTATGGCATATACTATACTATGTAATGATTTAAATAAATACAAGGTTATTATACCCAAATTTTAGGTAACTCAATTGTAATTTAAATAAAAATATTTTGATTACCGAGTAACGTATTTTCATTACTTTCTAAAAGTAATTTACCCAACACTGCATGGTAAATAAGTACTCAAGAATTTTTAATGAATTTTTTGATGAAATTTTTACGAAATTAGATATTCTTGCAATCACTCATAAAATAACGATTTATCATCAAACTGTTTGAGATTTTTTGTAGTAGATTAGTAGATAGGTAGCTCATCTTGGTATACAATCTAGGTAGGTAGGTACACATAATCATAAATCCGCTGACTAACTAGAGATTTTATAATATATGATATAAATTATTTTCATAATAAATTGAAGTGAMAATGCTCTTTTGCAGAGTTAAATATTTAGATACCTATTATGTAATACAATAACAAATAAAGCATATCTATAGAATACCCTATTTATGGTACAAACCACAAGGTAGTTATATAGAGATTTAAGGTATTAAATTTAGTATTTAGACAAAAAAGAGATCATTAAAAAAGACAATTTTTCACTTMGCCAAAAAATATTCCAAAGTTGTACATTGGGAACCAATATAATAAAATTTATATTTTATATAGCTAGGTACCTACTAATTAAATATTAATTTACAATTTTCAATTGCGTATTCAAAAACATCGTATTATACTTATTTACAGTCGCCGTAAAAATATTATCGCCCTCACTAAGTCCTAACATAAGCCAGAGTGGGCTATTGCCCTTTCGAACACCCCTTAAATACAGCCCTGGTGTATACTGTAGTAGTGTAGTCTGTATTAGTAGGTACATACGTATTATTAATATATTAATAATTAACGTAATACATAGAATATAGATTATTATTTATGTTGATAGGTGGTACCTAGGTAGTATAATCCTACATGGATTAAATAAATCCACCTTATCTTATCTCTTATCAAATAGCCATTTGATAACACATCTCGTCTTTATCTAAGGTACACAATCTTTTAAACTTACTGACATAATAAGAATAACTTACTTTTATTAGTCTGCGTATTTAAAAAAAATAATAAATTTGTGTATATAATATATTATTTTTAGAATATTATAGAATCATTAACTAGTTATTATGTTATTGATACAATTATGAGTTATGTCGTTTGAGATTATATTTAAGACTAGTGTCTAGTTTATTATTTAAGACATTTCAGAAAATTAAAGTAATAACTATTTCTGTTGTAATTTAAGATTATAAKCAAATTATTACAAAACTGTTTACACATAAAGCGGGAGCTGAAGATAAGGTTTGTTACACTTTGATTACATCGGTATCACAAGGTAGAATTTATACCTTTTTTCAATATGGATAATTTAAAAAAACCAAATATTACAAAAAAGAAAAATGAACAGTAAGTTTGTTAAATGTTGATTTTAAAGATTTATTATCCTGTTTTCTTGTATTTTTAGTTTATCAAAAAATGTACTTGAAACATTAAAAAGAAAAAAGGAATGCGAGAAAAAAGCATTAGACATTGTGGTAGAGTTAATTGATGGTGGATTGGAAGAAGCAGACTTGTTAAATAAGGTAGATTTGAATATTATATAGAAGCATTGAAAGTTAATTAATTCTATATCTAATATTTGTAAAAGTAATTTTACTTTGGTCTACATACCATGTTTGAAATGTATGGTAATCTTTCCTAACTAATTATGATAACAGTTTTTTTTATTAACATCAATAATATTTCATTCCAATTGCGAGAATCTTGTTTTCTTAAAACGGATAATCTAAAAAATAAGGATAAATAAAAATAGTTACTTACAAAAAACTTCTAAAACTAGTGTACTTCACATTAAAGAGTATTATTTCATTAAATTTGTTTAGTAACTTCTCAAGTTTATCAAATGAATAAAAATAATATCATCAAAAAAAATTTTTTTTTTTGATCTTTACAGCTTCGGGACATGGGCCATTAGCTTTATACATATTTTACATTATACTATAAACTATTACTTAAAATTTACACGTTTTAGGTGACAATTTAATTTTTTGAGATTTACTAACACTTTTGAATTGTATTTATGTGTAATTTATACAAATGCTTATCTTGATATTTCTAATCCAATTATATTTCAAATTTATCCTCTGTACCTACTTGTGTCCTATTCAGATATCACAATTTCAATTAATTAATTTCCTATATATATTTGCTTATAATTTAATTTTTGTAGCTGGGTTCAATTAATGCTTGCCACTATGAAGATGTAATAGAAGAAAGATTTATATTGAAACAATGTGGGTATGTGATGTGTGAAAAGAAGTTGAACGATATACCAAATCAAAAATATAAGATATCATTAGCCCTCAAAAAGGTGTATGATATTACAGAAAGAAAGGTAACTACACAATTTTTACTACTTTGTCAACAGTTGCTCTATTTTATTGTTGTAATTATTGTTTGTTATCCTTATTTTTCTGATAAAGTTAAATCTGTAATTTCCAATACTTTCTGTTAAAACTTTTTTCCGAGCTTATTAATTGTTAGTAAGTACCTATCTAGAACTAAATTATAATTAAATGGAACTTAAACAAACATTTTTGCAACACAGTAAATTTAAAAGAAATCCAATCAAACAAAATATTATTCAAATATCTTTTATATCAAATTATTTAACTTATATTTCAAATCTATAATTATGTTTAATTATTCAATTAATTGTAGGATTGTTTCAATACATGTGTTTTTTATTTTTAAGGCTTCAAATACAAAGTGTATAGGCTTTAATTATTTAAATTTATAATATTTTATTAGTAATAGTTAATAATTGTTTAATTTTCTTGATAATATTTAACATTATTTGATAGTGTTGTAACATTAATCCAATGTCCCATATTCTTGCTGTGATTTTAGCTCTCTTTACATGTTTTGCGCCTGTCTTCGGGCTCTTTACATATTTGATGAGAATGTGTTACTCTTGTATGTACAATGCATATTCTAGTGGCCATAATCTTCTTGGGTCGCATAAGCTTGATTAGTAAGTCTAGCAATTGATTAATTGATGGTTTTATTTACTCGATCTTATCAATGTTTATTTTTTTCATTAATTTCACACATTTGATTTTAAGGGCACAAATAGCATCTTCATAAGTTATATGTAGATATATTTTATTTTAGTATCCAGAGATATTGATGCTTTCAACATCAAATCATCACCTAGTTGTTGCCTGGAATGCTGCTGTGGGATGAAATCCACACGAGTTTGATAATGTTGTCGGTTACCAGAGTTATGTTTTAGATGCTTTAGGCAAAGTTGCATTATGTTGGCTAATAAGGTTACTGCGCTTTTAAAGTCACTTTAGGTGAGTAGTTAGTGAAGAGTTAAATAGGTATAGCTCGTGTATATGGAAAGTTTCAACAGTATATATGTTTTAGAAGGAAACAATTTTGTGGAGACTGATGTGTAAACTAGTGAATGAGGTTGAATTTGTTGTTCTAGAAGCATCTGTATGGATACAGATTTGTTGTTTAGACTACAGGTTATGTCTTTTATTTTAAATTGGACAAGTTTTATATTGTTTTCTATGTGTTTATTGTTTCATCAAAGATTATTGAAATGGTTTATATAGGTTTTATGTTATTGATGTTAGAATATATTTCTTTTGGGGATGTTGTGGAACTTTATATAAAATGGTTAAAATGTTTTTTTTTCTATATAGTATCTATCACAMCACATTTTTAATATTTTGCTGGAATTAATTTTGTACATAAAATATTGACTTTGATGATAATAATTGTGACATGAGAATAACGATAACCAATAATAATTTCTTGGTATGTGAAGTTACATTTTTATTTTGGTTAATGATGTAGAGGAAGCCAAGTATTCTCTGCTTATTTAAAAATAATGAAAATAAATATACTACAATAATCATTTTTATTTGTTTTAGAAATTTTGCTCCAATGTGTGTTATAAAAGTTCAAAATATTTACAAAATCAACTACTTACCACACCACTGTGGCTACGTGAAAAAAATACAATTCCAAAATTTAAATTATTTAAGTATGTTAACAATTATTATTTATGTAAATTTGTTTATTTCTAGTAGTTTAAACAGGGAAAGTATATGGACACATGAATGGTCACTGCAATAATAGTGGTGTCGGTTAGTACATATTATAACAAATAACAACAATAATACCTAACATATTTAGAATAGTTTGATAAAAAAATAAAGTTTAATTTTAAAATGCATGATTTAAATAATATATATATATAAGGGAAGTAAAAGGGTTTATATTCTATGTTCTATTAATTTATGAATTAGAACTTATTTTATGACAAAATAGAATAAAATAAAAAAAAATCTTAAGCAAGGTGCTAAAAAAATTAATTAAAAATAACCACTTCCATGTTGTGGTAGTTTTAATATGCATAACGTAAAATAAAACCTTAATCTAACTTAAAGCATCTTGAAGGTAAATTGTTTTAATTTAATTTTTTGAGAATGAACCCATTTTTATGATCAGTTTATTTGTCTATCATTTTTCAATGTTATAATTTACAAAGATATCATAAATAGAACTTTAATTTTTTTTTAAAAATCTAAATATTCTAAACCACAAATTTGATTCTTGTAGTCTGATAATTCAGTAAAATCTAGTAAAATAGTAAAATGTAATGACTCATATGTATTAAGCTCGGAATAATATTACAATGATGTCAAGATTTTTATATAAAAGAATTATTTATATTTAAAATATGCATATTAAAAAAAAAACTTAATGGAGAAATGGAAATTAATAAATAATGATTAAAAATCAAAATATTCAATGCAAATAAAATAAATAGCTTCAATATGACTGAGTGGCTTTCACTCAATGTTGTCAAGTCATATCAGTACATAAAAAGTAAACTAAAATAATAATAACAGAAGTACTTAAACTGAAACAGATACAGAAATTGTATGTGGTCTATTATCATAAGATAATAAATATTATTGCTAAGGGTAACAAATTAAGTAACAATATTTAAGCTTAGATTGTATTAAGGAGCAAAATACAAATGTGCTTGAAGATACTAAATATGTGCAATCACAAATTATAGATATATATGATTTATACTATTTTTATTAAATATAGAATAAATGATGTTTAAACCTAAGAAAAGAATCAATGTATTTAGAGTTAATTAAAATAAAATAAATTTTTTTTATAGCACTCATACAGAAAAGGATGTTCCATACCATTTTCACGACATACCCAATGGTCACACAAAATCATCAACGCCATTAATTACTGTTCCTACACCTAGTGATACCAATGAAATCAAGCAAAATGTTTTTTGATTAAAAAATGATTAATATTTTATAGTATTTTGGTTTTGTTTTATTGTGGTGCATTTTTGGTATTTTTTTCAATATACTATGGCCAAAAGAGAACATAACTGAGCAGCAATAAAAATGTGTCCAAGTTGACTTATTCCCCATCAATTTCACATGTTGATAAGACAACACATCGGGTCGTGGTGGTTAACCATCATTAATGCTACACAATATATAAAATGGGGGACCAGTAGATCAGAATGGTTGTTGCCTTCAATCTGCATGCACAAAATAATTGCATTCTCTCATGATCTAGAATATAAATTCTTAACTCTTCTGCAAATACTATGATAAATTAACAAGAAGATTAACAGTGGTTGACGAAAAGTCATAATATTTCTTAAGTATTTCATAAAAAAGGAATTCACTAATTTTATCAAGTCAGTTATACATTTTTATATGGTCTAAATATTTAATTTTTTTATTAAAACGTTTATTTATTCAATAAAACTGAACTATAACAATATTCAGTAGCGGCTCGTGAGTAAATATTCTGGGGAGACTTAAATTATATAAAATAAATTCCATATAACAACGAATAAGAAAAACTTTTTTATTGAAATAATTAATCATATTAAATATTAATATTTATTTAATATTTTTAACTTAATTTAATACTAAATTTGTTTATAAACTAATTCAATTYTGCGACCAGTAAGCCATGGGAATTTATTATACCAATTCTTTTGAAAAGTTCTAATATATTTACCGCCTTGACATGTTAATAATAAATGAGGAGTTGGGCGATTAAGTTTTATTTGATTTTTTTGTTCATATATTAAGGCATTAAAACCACTGGTTAGTAAAAATTCTATTATATTCTATTAAATCGGGTGGGGGGATTGGAGTCTGGACCTCCTTAGCTAAAGTATTGCCTCCCCTGTCTAGAATACGTACCCACGCTTATGCCTATAATATATTAATATTTAATAGCAGTGTTTATGTCAACATTTAGTTTAACATACCATGTATTACTAATAGAAAATTACTAATTACTAATACTACCTAGTATAATATGAATTAATTTAATTATTAGTATAGTATTTTAATAATATAAATAAATGATAAGACATCCTGATTCCTGATAATTAAATGCTGCGCATCAGTATATCGCGTATACAGTTGAATAAATTCAACCTATATCTACATCAATAATACTAATATAGTAATATAGCAGTATGAAATCTTTTTGGCTGACATACCGGTTTTTGTTTGGGATCATTTGTGTAATAGGTAGGTATATCGATATATCATTGAACAAAAATATAACACATCAATATAAAATATCATAAATATCAGCAACTACAGCAACCCACTCGACATCTACTGAACAACAAAGTGGCACCCACTTTCAGTCCACCTTTTTTATTACATATTTTAAAGAAAAATATTATACGGAGTGTTTTGACCTATAAAAATCAAATTTTGAACAAGTATGGCTTATTAAATATCCTATTGTATATGTCCAAAAACAGGCCTATTTTTATGTTCAAATTTTCTGACAACACTATTGAACTTTTTTCCAATTTTTAAATTATAAAAAAAAAATTCTTTCCATTAAGCGTCAGAGCCTAATTACTTCTCTCAATTCCTTGAATGTTCCTTTCAATCTCTATTCCATTTTAAATTCTAACTCTGAACAAGTTATTATTATTTATTTTATTCAGGAGGCTGGCTTTATTATCTGAGTCTTTTTGTTTATATAATTTGTAATGTCTTTAGCTATTTATAACTTCATTTTACTATTTTTCTATTGTTTTCTTTTTTTTTCTACTTATAATATTGATTGTTAATACTCTAATGTATTGTAATTGTTGAGCTAGATTTAAAATAAAAAGCTAAAAAAAAAAAATATTATACGTTACGTGGCCAGCTTTAGCTGTTTTTAATTCACCGAACAAAAATACACTTATTATCACACATTTTCTTAGTGCAATGCAAAGTCCGGCTGCCTGGATTTTAAAAAAATATAATTTTTTTTCTTCTAAAAATTGCAATATACTCATATTTATATCTACAATCTACATAGTATTGTTTATTTTCCAATTTTTGGTCAGAGGATTGAACTAATAAACGGGAGGATTGCACTTAACCAATAAAATAAAAATATTTAAATAATATTATTTAACRCACGAACGTAGGTAGCCAATTTATTCAGCTAGTAACTTAAAAGTAAGTACCTATTATTTAAAGTTTTAATAAGGGGAGTAGTGGACTAACATTTTGTGTAACGCACCAATGTATGACTTCACTCCGTTCATCTCAGGGGCGTCCTCAAGGGGGGACGAATGGGGCAGTCGCCCCCTCCATGACCTCTATTTTCTTTCTTAAAATTAATTAAAAGGTAAAAAACCTAGTAATTGGTGTATTTTCATATAAATATATAGGTGATGTATGAAGTTCGCCCCCCCCCCCTATGAAAGGGTCTAGGGACGCCACTGGTTCATCTAAACTTTGAGCACATATATAATTATGTATAGTTTAACTCATACACTGATACACTACCTACTCGTTTAAAAATTTGATTTTGATCCAAAAAAATATTGTGATTTTGAATAAGGAATTTAAAATTCACGCTGTCATAGCGATATGAATCGTGTAAAATATTATATGTTTTAGACGTTCAATTTAAATATATTTTACAGTAAATATTCTTTTAACTTTTTCGAACTAGTTTCCTACCTCATTATTATTCTTGTTGCCAACCCGTATTGTATTATGTATACTATTATATTTTTATATACGTTGCACCTGCCTACATTATTCATGACCTATTATATACGGTCATACGGATTACAGATAGATACTAGTTAGATTATATTTAATATGTTGTACAAGCTTACAACATAAAAAAAAATATTAGCATAAAGGCTAATAGTTATAATATTAATCAGAATTTTTTCACCATTAAAATACTTAAAGGTATTTTCATCCATATATCTATAATTAAACATTGGTTAATGCTAACATTGCTAACATTAACTGGATAAGCTGATACCATCCAAAAACTTTTGGTTAATGTCCTAACCATAACAATTTTTAAAATCATTTTAAATTATTAACAGTATTGAATATATTTAAAACACAATTAGTAATTACCATAAAATGCATAGGTACATTATTAATATTTTAATAAAAAAATAAAATGTATTAACTAAATTAAATTATATTAAGAAGTTTTAATATTTCTGGATATTTGAATGGGCGCGACCCGTTTCGCCCAAAAATGACACTCTCCGTTTCGTCCGGGTACCCGTTTAGCCAAAATTTTATTTTTATATGATTTCCGTTTCGCCTAGAGTAGTTTAGACCAATTTAAAATTAAGTTGGCAATGATTATAATATTTGAGTATCATTTAACGTTATCCAGAAATTTTAATAAAATTCGTGATTTGTTTATACGTCGATGTCACATATACGCACTACGATCAAATCTGATAATCTTTTTTGTAAATTAATTAATTTTATAAGTTTTAAGTATGTAATTTGTTGTATGGTTATGTACCTTTTATATTAGATAAGATAAGCTACGGTGATGATGTAGCGCATTCATAAATTCGTAGGCATTATTTTTTCGGTGCGTTTTATATATTTTGATCGATTTAAATTCGATAACGACTGGATTTCTTATCTACTATCGATTTTATATATTATCATTTACCTATGAACGATATTCCTTTTGGCTTTATTTTTTTAACTCAATTACCGTAGTTTTATTACTATAGGTTTTATAACGTTCCCTAAAATATAATATTTGACTGAAATATTGCCAATTTAATTTTAAATTGGTCTAAACTACTCTGGGCGAAACGGCAATCGCATAAAAATAAAATTTGGGCGAAAGGGGTACCCGGGCGAAACGGGGACGGTCATTTTTGGGCGAAACGGGCTACGCCCATTTGAATACTGTGGTTTATAAAGTTTATTTAGATCCATCTGTAATCTTCAGGATTTTAAACAAAATACAGGTAGTATGTGATATTTAAATTGAGGACTAAAGCAATGTGGAAACTTGACTGAGTTTTTGAGGTGACTTAAATCATGTTTAGAACATAATGGCGAAATCTTTTAACAATTCATAAGATAAATTTAGTAAATAAATTTTATTTTTATTATAATTTCAATACCTATTACTATTATCAGTATAAATATTTTGTTATACATTTAATACATTCAATTGACGAAATATCATACTTTTAAAATAATGTTTTWTTATTTCCAGTGGTTATAAATGAAAATTTAATTAAACTCGAATTATGCATAATTCCAAATTTTGGCTTACTCTAATTTGGTCAGTTTTGTAAATAGAAAAAAACTTTTGATACTAAAAATGTTTAAAAAATAAATAAATATTTTATCCGAATATATAGAAAAAAAGTGTTTCCATTTAAAAAAATGCAAGTTGCATTGCGCACGCGTACACCAAAAGTGTTGAAATTTATCTGAAAATATGTATTTAGGTACTCCCTATCGCCTCTCGAAAACCCCATTTCAATACAAGGCCATCCACCTGAGATATTTATTGTTACTTTGAATTGTGATCAGAATGTATATTGTTCACCTTATCGGTAAGATAATTGACATTCGGTTATAGGTTAATTAGGATATTGTACTCCAGCAGTCCAACGCTTTATTATTGTATAGAATGGTATCAACTCTATTTAATATATCACTTTTAACAATATCCAATATTGACTACAGGTTAAAGTCAACATTAACCGGATAATGTTGATATTTCATGTTATAAAAGAAAAATTAAACATAAGCCATAACGAATGCCAACATTATCCAAATTTTAACATTACCCGTAAGCGGCCATAACTTATTTAGCAATTTAGGTACCTACATAAGTATAAGAGCACCTTATTATAGCGCTTATAGGTAAGCACCTATTATAGGTATTATGCCTTGACAACTGCGTATTTTTTTGTCAAATTACAGATTTTCACCTAAATCCTAATAAATGTAATGTAAATTGAGTTTAGTTTTAGAAGATAATATCTAATATAATTTATTATTTTACACATATTATATAATAAACAATATATAACTGTAGTGTTATGAATTATAAAATTATTTATAATTATTATTTTATGTTATAAAATTCAATTGAAAACATTTTTATTAAGTTTAATGTAAATAAGAAATATAAACAAAAACCCCTATAGAAGATATATCTAATAAATTTGAGTACAACAGAATCAATTTTGATGTCGCCAACTTAAATATTAAAGCAAAATATATTGACCTTATTCATAATATCAAAAAAAAAAAAGTAAAAAATATTATATGATTATGATAAATACAATAATATTAAGAAAAATGTATTTGAAAATATAATTTTTAAAAATATGTAAATAGGTATAAAAATATTATACATAAATAGGTATATAAATATATATATATAATATACTATATAGTACTCTATAGAAAGGTATTAGATACCTAACTATAAAATTTAATTGAACTGGTTATAATTTAAAAACTATCATTTCAAGTAAAACTTACCAATAGAACAAGAATAGTTTCTTTCAAAATTTTTTCGGTATAGGGAAAAAGGAAGAAATTGGTTTTTCGTGTCTTACAGTTGTCTAAATATTTTTTTTGCAGTTATAGTACTATTTAATTGCTCCCGTTTTTTCCACAAACGCACATATGATATATATATGAATATACACACACGAACCCAATATCTAAAAATATTTTTTTATACAATATGAAAATTCAAAATTAACTCATTTGGAAATATTAAAATGTATGTAGATTTTGAGTTAACTTAGAGACAAATTAAATAAGTTGAAGTTTAATTAATAAAAACATCCAACTTGTAAATTAAACTAATAAGTATTAATAAGCACGCAAGAGCACATGAATATTAAGTAGTTCACAAAATGCAATTAGTTTTAATTTCTATTTTAATTTAATTTATTATTGGAACCAAGTCAACTTTAATTAATTTTTTTTAATGCTACTAACTAAATTTATATAGTTTTGGAGGATAAAAGATGGATTCCAATTCTATCTATTTTGAACAAATACCTATACAAATTAATTTAAATAATAAAATTATGTATACAATTGTACATCATTGTGTAATATATTGTATTATAGATTTTCAAAAAAAGTCAGTGTTCTGGTAGGTATTTTTTTCAAGCATATAGTAATGGATGTGCAATATTTGAATTTAATAATAAATAATTGCATTCGGATATCGATTATGAGCAGAGGCTCATCGTAACATAATTATTGTATAAATTATCAAGTTTACCTGTTAAACATAAAATAATAAATATCGAAAATATATCGTAACTTTACGGTAAACTTTTTTGTTTTGTTTGAGGTAGAAAAACTTGATGAGAATCTTCTACTAAAATTATTAATATCAGCTACATGAAAAAATCTTGTATACATTTTTAGCTGAAAAACAATTTCTTAATTTTTAAAAATGTTCATGGTAAAATATTTCGAAAACGTTACTATGCATGTTACAAATATTGGGTGAAAATTTCTATTGTCGTTCACAGTTATTAGTTTTTTGGTACCTACACCAAAAAAATTATTTTGTGGAAAAAGTATCTTTTTATTCACTTCTCTTTTGTTTTTCAAGACGCTTTCAATAATTTTTGGGAATTTTGATCTCCCAGAAATATCAAATAAATTCACTTTTTTATCAGAAAATCTGCTAATGTCGAGAATCGTAGCATTTTTACTATTTTAAGAGTTGATGACAGATAGACAAAACACATTATTATAAAATCAATTACATTCATTCGCTACGCACAGAATCTAAAATAATGAATTAAAATTTCCTCATAGGTACCATCAAATTTGTCTTTTAAATATTCATTAAAATTTACAGTGTTATCGTGTTTAATTTTCCATTGCTCTATAAATAAAATATCATTCAAAATTTGAAACAGTTGGTTTAGTTTGAATTTACCTACAGGGTAAACATCGTTTTATTATATTATGTTCTTGAAATAGTAATAAATTTTAAAATATTGTTATACCGATCGACGTGAGTACGTCTATCCATTATGATGCTTTCAAGTTCCATTTAATAAAATGTAATGATATTTATTATCATAGAATTGGGCGCGCGCGGTGGCGGCAGTAGTGATTGTCGTGTACACGCTCCGCACGGCGCCGGCGCCCCCCCGCAGATAAAAGCTACCCCCGCCGGCAGCACACCCGCCACAAGTTCAATGGTTTGCAGTCGCCTCGTCCACGCCCGCCGCCGTCCGACCGTCACGACACTGCAAGCGCCACCTTACAGTCCTCTGTGCGAACAATATTTTCATCGTACGGATATTCGTTCAAGCAGTCAGCGGCTCCAGTGTGTCGTGCTATCGCCGTGGACCAGGAGGTGCTTTATACACACGCGCGCGCGCACTCACATACACAGACCGTCGCTACAGGTGATTATACTATGCCATATTATATTATCATGTTAYAATTATTTTACTGTTATTGCGATTGTTGTCATTGTCTACGGTGGCGTACTTAACACCGTTCACAAACACGCATATCGTACACGTATATACCTACCATAATATTATAATGATGGACTGCCGCAATGCTGTATAATACAGATACATCTACTGTACGTCGTATTGGCAAGCCGACCGGCGACCAGATCGCGACGACCATGACCGGGTCGGACGACAACAACGGCGATTCGGACAACGCAGGAGCCGGGGTGGGCGACGATGGCGATGGGAGGGCCCGGCGCCGCGACAAGTTTTCCTCCGGGGCGTTGCTGACCTCCGCGGCCGCGACACTGCTGTGGTGCGTCCTGTTCACAGCCTTCGCGCCGCAGCCGCTTGCCGTGGCCGGCGTTCAGCTGTACACGAACACGTTCGCTGTCAGGCTACACGGTGATGTCCGGGACGGTTCCGGGCACGTAGATGAGGCGGCGGCCCACAGGGTTGCCAAGAGGGCTGGCAGTGGGTTCGAAAACATCGGCAAGGTATTAACGTAATGCACTATACATAGTACTACGACAATAGAATTATATAATTTATCGCATTTAAATGGCATAAATGACCGTACAATATTTTGATATTATTATTATTTATTAGACACCTTTAAACGAGTATACTCGAYGACCAGCTCATTGGTGTACTTGGTGGTGTAGTTGGGTGCAGCATATAGGCACCCCGTGGCGTGTGTGCGGTGGTRCATACACTCGCGTGGCGCATATTATGTCCAATTTAATGTATAGCTGCGGGTAACCCCCTACGCCCCTGCAATGACTGCTATAGCCACGCTATTACTGAAGTACATATGTTATTTAATTTTATTGTCWTAATATTATTTTGTATGTAGGTGCTACCTAAAGTTGCATAATCGTGTATAAAATTATTTTATATCTTAGTACTAGACGAAAAATATAGGAATTTTAAAATAATACATGTTACCACGGGAACACTCAAATTGAATGCAATTATATAAATATTTAATCTGCGTGTTTAAATCGATTAGATACGAATTTYCAGTGCCATCTGCGTGAAATGATAGTGCCGTGGCTGTGGGTGAGCATCAGGTGTATTTTAATTAAGTATTGTGGTGGAGGTTAAGGGTAAAATTCGGGCGGGTGGGCGAAGAGATGGTGGTATTTCATAATAATATATCGACCGCTGGTGGCTGAGGTGGCTTGAGTGGAAAAACAGAGTGGGTCGAGAGTTTTCGGAAAAGTATACAAGTAGGTGTAGATAGGGCGACGGCCGGGCGTGGAGGTGCAGAGGGGCTGGGAGTTAAACGCGGCTGTCGCTAGTCCTACTGACGTCATTGTACCCGACGGGATTTATATTTTATTCAATTTCAAAGCATCATATTTTTATATTTATTTATCTTTAATCCTATTAGACGGTGGACAAATTCAATTTGGAGATGAATTTCTATTACCTATATATTATTACAATGTTATATTATGAATTATGATTAAATAGATTATGCTTATGCACTTACCTATACTTTGATGTTTAGATGGACTATATATGACTTTATATTATATATGACGATATGTAGTTATTTACCATGTCTACTATAATTTATATCACGGTCCGCGTTCTGAGTTTCATTCAATTATCAGTGCTGGTTTTTGAAATGAAAAATATTAACCCTTATTATTTTTATGTACATACACTCATATATATATATATATTAGATGGCGGTCGGGTTACTAGCGATGGTCAGGGTCTTACGATATTGATTGATGGACATGAGGGACGGTAGATGTCAAAACAAATATAAGTGATGATGGYATATATTTTAATGGCTGCAGCTAGCGAAAGCTTTTATAAAATGACAGAAGGTTCAAGTTGTTTAGTTGAAAAGGGGTTGACATAAATTAATTGAATGTTTGCGATTAAATTTCCCTCGATTTGTCAATGCATTATGTTATTATATTATATCAAAAACGATACACACAACTATAAGTCTATAATTATATCAGTTTTTAATTACGGGGTCAATATATTATAGCGATAGGTATCATCAAAATATTATTTGATTTTGATTTGTATTTAAAAATATTTATAGTAAATGTAAGTTTTAAAACTTTTGTGTGAATTACCCCGGGTCCTTGTTCGATACGACGATACATTTATATATGTGTGTCGTATATACTAGATAGTCTATATTTATATTATCTAGGTATAATATAAAATATCTTGATCATTATAGCTTATAGCATCATATTATCGGTTTGTAATCGTTCGATTCGGTTTAAAATGAAGCATTTATTTTAGTTGATACTACAGTTTAATTTACAAACATAAACATCAAAATAACATATGCTTCATAAAATGTACAAATTATTTTTACCTCTCTAACTGTACACCTTTGCGAAAAAAAGTACGAATGAAAATTAAAAAACACTACATTTTATGTAAAATTGATACAGCTCCTTCACGCTATTTAAAACTCAAAAGTATTTATATTTTATTCATATTATTATGGGATCCTACCTAGGCATAAAATGTGTTAAAGAATGATTGGATTTTAAATCATAGAAAATAGAAATTAATTTATAATTATAGCTCAAGCTATATTGTGTSTAATGAAAACAAAAAAGTATATCGTAATGGTTACAAATTATTGTTACTATTTTACTAAATATATATTATGTATAATCTATATTATACACTAGTAAACTTTTTATTATAATTCTACTTTTTGAAATTTTATGTACTTATATACTTATATGTAAGGACCATATATTTTCAAATCTGAACTTTTTCTATTCTAGAAATATCACGTCATAATAGCTATCGTTTTTTTAAAATAATAATCAGTTTTTTTTTCGCATAAAATGTCAATCAGTTAACTGTTGTAGAAATATTGATTATGAATCTCATCAAGTTAAATATAAGAGAGCGCTACATAACCATTTGTTGTCTTCATTCATTGCCCATTCATATGCTTGACAATTCGATAACTATCTACTGTACAGCAGAGTGGTTCCCACTTGTCCACCTTTCTCTTTTCCCTAATGCATTTTAAAACTGTGATTTTCTTACTTTTTATTCCCCGACGAGCCAAAAATATCATTTAAATTCACTTTTCAACCAGGAAAGGTGTTGAAGTAGAAAAATCAGAGCATTTTCATTGCTTCAAAGATGATGACGATAAAAAAAACACATTATTATTAAATCAATACATTTTCACTCAGAATCCAAAATGTATTTATATTTATAATCTACACTRAGGATAATTCATTTGAAGACTATTATCTCATTTCTCGAATCAATTAGACAAAATAATATTCGTGGGAAGGGTAGCTTTATTGGGACAAAGCTCAATGAATTCATACGTTATTCACTTATTTTGGAAATCTTAAAATGCGCTATTTCCAATTATTTGTAATTGATTAACGAAAATGAAATATAAATGCATTTTGAATTCTGAGTGAAAATGTATTGATTTAATAATAATGTGTTTTTTTTTTATTGTCATCATCTTTATTAAGCAATGAAAATGCTGATTTTATATTTTTCATATTATTCTTAAATTGTTGGATTGTTGTATTWATGTAGTGGTTATTGTRAATTAAATAAAATATTATCAATCTTTTTATAAATCTCAATAAATTATTACAGATTCGTGGTACTAAGGATGAATTCCAATTCGTGCATCATGGGTTGCCAAAAATACGTGGCCGCCGTTCTCTACCTTCAGTCTTACTTTTGAAGAAGGATCCATCTGTAAGTATTATATAATGTAATACTATTAATAATCAATGTACATAATATTAAGAATATAGTGTCTACTTTAAACTTTGCATTTTAAACTAATATTTTTAATATTTTCTAATCTATTATATAAATTAAAAGAAACACATAATAAATTAAATCGCTGTTGGTGCTTTTCAAAATTCTTAAAATTTAAAAAAAATAATGGATGTAAGCACAAACATAATTTAAATACAATCCAATTGTTTTTGTTTTGATAACGATCATAAGTACGATCAAATATTGTATTAATATTATTTAATCATTTAGAATACCATGTAAATAAAATCTATTATATATTGGTAATATATTATTATACTTATATATATTATATACAGTATACTGAGTACTCCCGTCAATATCAATTTTCTAATAAAATTCTTAAAAAATGATTTTTAAACAATTTTTTTGTATTACAGATTAATTTAATTTATTTTATTATTATAACTATTAACTTAATATTTTAGTTTTCTACAGACAAATAAAACAATAAACCAAAAACATAAATTGTATAAAAATTGCATATACGATGCGCCGTCTTACAAAATTTCTGTTATTACTGTTTTGGTTTCTATACACTCGTATGATTTTGTGTAGGTGCTATAAGTAGTAAGTACCAATAGTAAAAATTCCATATCGTATATTTTCCTCGGAAAAACTAGCAATATCATAAAAATTTAATAGTGGACGATAAGGAGAGTGTTACACATGAATTMAGTTACATTTGAATGTCACGAATCGAAGAAGACGGTTTTGAATATTATTGAAATATTGAATTTGAAAGTTTTAGTATGGGGACTAAACTAAAGTGTTGTATTCCAATTTTTATCGGACTAAAGAAGTATACTATAATGTTTTAATAACTACAGGATTAGTGAAATCCTTACAATTTATTGTAATAAAGTCTAAAATTATCRAGGATTTCCTAACTGTATGTAAYAACTAATAAGTATTTATTATWTTTAACTTTTAAATCAAATATTATACCTAAATCGCTAATTGCATGCAGCTAATTATACAGTTAATTTATATTATAATTCAAAAGACTATAGCGCCATAATTTGAAGTTCTTTATGTAATAATATGCCCTGGCTTATAATTATATTAGCCTCTAGTATTAATCTGGTCCTGAAACCTTATATATCCTATTACAGATCTCAGAGAGATCTTTAATTATTTTAATGAATAATAACTATTTTATCTTATTTTCAGAAATCTAAAATACCAACTAAACTAAACTATAGTATAAAAAGAAATACTTCAGTGTCTACGATAGGGACCACGTTGAATTATTCGAATGCTAATTTTCTTTAAACACAATCATATGTGATATGAATGATGATGATGTCYATGTATTTACAATTTTAACATAATAATTTGATATATTATGTGATATAGTGTCTATTAAATTACTATCAATATTCGTTGAATTTGATCATTAATCACTATTATTAATTATTAACCACCACGACTGTGCGTTTCATACAATTAGTATATTATTATATTATTGACATATTGTTGAATACAGGAGAGGCTAAATCATGGATAGACTTATAGCACTTGCGTCTTAATATATTTACTAATTTAATAATAGGTATTATTCCTTTTTCTGCTTTTCGTATTATTGATCGCTATATTGTACGGCTCATGACTATCTTATCGCTGGATACTCCTAATACATATAATATGAGTATTATGATTGAGGATTAAAGCGTTTAAATTCTTGGGGATATTTTTTATAGATTTTATTTCCAATMATAATTTGGCTAAGAATTAATACTTCCATTATTATCTATTGGTATAATTTTATATTGATAATATTATTTTGATATAACTGAAAATACTAGAGYCCTCTTTTTGAAGACACCACACCTTTGTTCATTATCTCTGTCTTATAAATAACAACATGGCAAATTTTACATTCACAAAAAATCCACTTTACTCTGTTAATTTTTTTAAATTAGAAGTAATTGACTTATTTTAAAATTAAGTAAGATTATTATCAAGATTATTATCGAGGTTTCTATTGATATTTTGATAAACAAGTTAAGAGCATTTTAAAATTATAAATTGTTTATACGTTAATTTTAAAATGACCTTTACTTGTTCCAAAATTAAAATATCAATAAAAGCGTCAAATATGTCGTAGATAACATCTACTTCATAGTATCATAGTTACAAGACACACATTAAAGAATACTTTTGGAATATTATAGTAGCMTGCTAKAAACAAAATATTAAAACATATAAAGATCAAACAATACTCTTATCAAGTTTAAAAAAAATCGTGTTTGTTTCTTTACAATAATTTATAACATGATTAACAAATAATTATAAAAAATAATTTAACGTCACTCCTTTTTTAAAAGTTGAAAATAGTGAAAATTATTGGAATTTATATTTTAAACAAATTTATATAAACATTTTTAGGTTAAGTCTGTTCATCAGCAACCAGGATTCAAGAGAGTGAAACGTGGGTATAAGCCATATATCCCATCTTTATACTTGAATAGAGATGAATTTATTGCAAATCAATATAAAGAATATTCTGGTAAACCAATTGAAGTCGATGATGATCTGGATCGTTATGGTAAGTTACCAATGGATCCATTATTCAAGGAGCAATGGTATCTGAGGAATACAGGACAAAACGGTGGTAAACCGAAATTGGATTTGAATGTACGAGCTGCTTGGGCTCAAGGGGTATCAGGCAAGAATGTAACTACAGCTATAATGGACGATGGTAAGAAAATGTCTTGGTTTTTGAATCAGCTATGTTAATAAAAAAAAAGTCTAGAAATTATACAAAACATATAATTATATTTAATTAATTCTCGAGTATTAAAGATTCAATTCTCTTTGGAAATCGTATTTCTGATTTTTTAAATTCTAATTTTTATTTTTAATGGATGTCCACTTTTATGTTAATTTTGGATTTTTGATACATGAGTTCTCTTATAAACTACATTTATATATTTATCTTAGAAATTTTTCAAACCAAAATTAAAATAAGCTTAAAAACTTATGTACTAAAGAAAATTTCTAATAATTATATGCTTCATAAAAATTGGGTATAAGTTATAGACTTACTAGCTAGTATAGCGTTATCTCACATTATTTGGTATAGTCGTCGTACTATTTGTACTTTAGTACATATCATTTTCAAAAAATTTGATATTATAACAATTATAAATTTACATTTTTTTCGGTTTAATTTCTGATTTAAATTRTATTTTATACTTTTTTTTTCTAAAAATTGTAAAAATCTTGTTTGTTTTTTATGTACAGGAGTGGATTATACACACGAAGATCTAAAATATAATTATGTGAGTAGTATCAAACAATCTACCTTGCATGCACAATTTAATATTAAAATTAGATTTATTCGAAAATATAATAACTCATTGTAAATTTATATTATGCGTATACACCAACATATACTCGTACATGTCACTTGCCAACTATATTTACATCATATCTTATCTCCTACAACTAATTTAACTAATACCGTTTTGTTTAGAATGCACGAGCTAGCTACGATTTCAGTTCAAATGATCCATATCCATATCCCAGGTATACCGATGATTGGTTCAACAGCCATGGTACACGTTGTGCTGGGGAAGTGGCAGCTGCACGTGATAATGGTGTTTGTGGTACCGGTGTAGCATATGACTCAAAAATCGCCGGTAAGTGCTTGAAATGGTTAGATTTATAGAAGGGTCTATAAAGCAATACAACAACATGTAATGTGCGCATCGTATAATATATGTTACGCRTCTCTATATAATGTTGATTTGGAGAAAAAAGTAGTTAAGCATAGTGTAAGTTTTTACTTTTCAAGCTGATAAGTTTACATCGTTATATGCTTGCATACCACTATATCTACTAAAATAGTTTGGTATGGTTTCAACCAGCTTCTTTTTAATAAACTAATGTTTCTTATTTTTTATATGCAACCTAANAAATTTTGGCTTACTCTAATTTGGTCAGTTTTGTAAATAGAAAAAAACTTTTGATACTAAAAATGTTTAAAAAATAAATAAATATTTTATCCGAATATATAGAAAAAAAGTGTTTCCATTTAAAAAAATGCAAGTTGCATTGCGCACGCGTACACCAAAAGTGTTGAAATTTATCTGAAAATATGTATTTAGGTACTCCCTATCGCCTCTCGAAAACCCCATTTCAATACAAGGCCATCCACCTGAGATATTTATTGTTACTTTGAATTGTGATCAGAATGTATATTGTTCACCTTATCGGTAAGATAATTGACATTCGGTTATAGGTTAATTAGGATATTGTACTCCAGCAGTCCAACGCTTTATTATTGTATAGAATGGTATCAACTCTATTTAATATATCACTTTTAACAATATCCAATATTGACTACAGGTTAAAGTCAACATTAACCGGATAATGTTGATATTTCATGTTATAAAAGAAAAATTAAACATAAGCCATAACGAATGCCAACATTATCCAAATTTTAACATTACCCGTAAGCGGCCATAACTTATTTAGCAATTTAGGTACCTACATAAGTATAAGAGCACCTTATTATAGCGCTTATAGGTAAGCACCTATTATAGGTATTATGCCTTGACAACTGCGTATTTTTTTGTCAAATTACAGATTTTCACCTAAATCCTAATAAATGTAATGTAAATTGAGTTTAGTTTTAGAAGATAATATCTAATATAATTTATTATTTTACACATATTATATAATAAACAATATATAACTGTAGTGTTATGAATTATAAAATTATTTATAATTATTATTTTATGTTATAAAATTCAATTGAAAACATTTTTATTAAGTTTAATGTAAATAAGAAATATAAACAAAAACCCCTATAGAAGATATATCTAATAAATTTGAGTACAACAGAATCAATTTTGATGTCGCCAACTTAAATATTAAAGCAAAATATATTGACCTTATTCATAATATCAAAAAAAAAAAAGTAAAAAATATTATATGATTATGATAAATACAATAATATTAAGAAAAATGTATTTGAAAATATAATTTTTAAAAATATGTAAATAGGTATAAAAATATTATACATAAATAGGTATATAAATATATATATATAATATACTATATAGTACTCTATAGAAAGGTATTAGATACCTAACTATAAAATTTAATTGAACTGGTTATAATTTAAAAACTATCATTTCAAGTAAAACTTACCAATAGAACAAGAATAGTTTCTTTCAAAATTTTTTCGGTATAGGGAAAAAGGAAGAAATTGGTTTTTCGTGTCTTACAGTTGTCTAAATATTTTTTTTGCAGTTATAGTACTATTTAATTGCTCCCGTTTTTTCCACAAACGCACATATGATATATATATGAATATACACACACGAACCCAATATCTAAAAATATTTTTTTATACAATATGAAAATTCAAAATTAACTCATTTGGAAATATTAAAATGTATGTAGATTTTGAGTTAACTTAGAGACAAATTAAATAAGTTGAAGTTTAATTAATAAAAACATCCAACTTGTAAATTAAACTAATAAGTATTAATAAGCACGCAAGAGCACATGAATATTAAGTAGTTCACAAAATGCAATTAGTTTTAATTTCTATTTTAATTTAATTTATTATTGGAACCAAGTCAACTTTAATTAATTTTTTTTAATGCTACTAACTAAATTTATATAGTTTTGGAGGATAAAAGATGGATTCCAATTCTATCTATTTTGAACAAATACCTATACAAATTAATTTAAATAATAAAATTATGTATACAATTGTACATCATTGTGTAATATATTGTATTATAGATTTTCAAAAAAAGTCAGTGTTCTGGTAGGTATTTTTTTCAAGCATATAGTAATGGATGTGCAATATTTGAATTTAATAATAAATAATTGCATTCGGATATCGATTATGAGCAGAGGCTCATCGTAACATAATTATTGTATAAATTATCAAGTTTACCTGTTAAACATAAAATAATAAATATCGAAAATATATCGTAACTTTACGGTAAACTTTTTTGTTTTGTTTGAGGTAGAAAAACTTGATGAGAATCTTCTACTAAAATTATTAATATCAGCTACATGAAAAAATCTTGTATACATTTTTAGCTGAAAAACAATTTCTTAATTTTTAAAAATGTTCATGGTAAAATATTTCGAAAACGTTACTATGCATGTTACAAATATTGGGTGAAAATTTCTATTGTCGTTCACAGTTATTAGTTTTTTGGTACCTACACCAAAAAAATTATTTTGTGGAAAAAGTATCTTTTTATTCACTTCTCTTTTGTTTTTCAAGACGCTTTCAATAATTTTTGGGAATTTTGATCTCCCAGAAATATCAAATAAATTCACTTTTTTATCAGAAAATCTGCTAATGTCGAGAATCGTAGCATTTTTACTATTTTAAGAGTTGATGACAGATAGACAAAACACATTATTATAAAATCAATTACATTCATTCGCTACGCACAGAATCTAAAATAATGAATTAAAATTTCCTCATAGGTACCATCAAATTTGTCTTTTAAATATTCATTAAAATTTACAGTGTTATCGTGTTTAATTTTCCATTGCTCTATAAATAAAATATCATTCAAAATTTGAAACAGTTGGTTTAGTTTGAATTTACCTACAGGGTAAACATCGTTTTATTATATTATGTTCTTGAAATAGTAATAAATTTTAAAATATTGTTATACCGATCGACGTGAGTACGTCTATCCATTATGATGCTTTCAAGTTCCATTTAATAAAATGTAATGATATTTATTATCATAGAATTGGGCGCGCGCGGTGGCGGCAGTAGTGATTGTCGTGTACACGCTCCGCACGGCGCCGGCGCCCCCCCGCAGATAAAAGCTACCCCCGCCGGCAGCACACCCGCCACAAGTTCAATGGTTTGCAGTCGCCTCGTCCACGCCCGCCGCCGTCCGACCGTCACGACACTGCAAGCGCCACCTTACAGTCCTCTGTGCGAACAATATTTTCATCGTACGGATATTCGTTCAAGCAGTCAGCGGCTCCAGTGTGTCGTGCTATCGCCGTGGACCAGGAGGTGCTTTATACACACGCGCGCGCGCACTCACATACACAGACCGTCGCTACAGGTGATTATACTATGCCATATTATATTATCATGTTAYAATTATTTTACTGTTATTGCGATTGTTGTCATTGTCTACGGTGGCGTACTTAACACCGTTCACAAACACGCATATCGTACACGTATATACCTACCATAATATTATAATGATGGACTGCCGCAATGCTGTATAATACAGATACATCTACTGTACGTCGTATTGGCAAGCCGACCGGCGACCAGATCGCGACGACCATGACCGGGTCGGACGACAACAACGGCGATTCGGACAACGCAGGAGCCGGGGTGGGCGACGATGGCGATGGGAGGGCCCGGCGCCGCGACAAGTTTTCCTCCGGGGCGTTGCTGACCTCCGCGGCCGCGACACTGCTGTGGTGCGTCCTGTTCACAGCCTTCGCGCCGCAGCCGCTTGCCGTGGCCGGCGTTCAGCTGTACACGAACACGTTCGCTGTCAGGCTACACGGTGATGTCCGGGACGGTTCCGGGCACGTAGATGAGGCGGCGGCCCACAGGGTTGCCAAGAGGGCTGGCAGTGGGTTCGAAAACATCGGCAAGGTATTAACGTAATGCACTATACATAGTACTACGACAATAGAATTATATAATTTATCGCATTTAAATGGCATAAATGACCGTACAATATTTTGATATTATTATTATTTATTAGACACCTTTAAACGAGTATACTCGAYGACCAGCTCATTGGTGTACTTGGTGGTGTAGTTGGGTGCAGCATATAGGCACCCCGTGGCGTGTGTGCGGTGGTRCATACACTCGCGTGGCGCATATTATGTCCAATTTAATGTATAGCTGCGGGTAACCCCCTACGCCCCTGCAATGACTGCTATAGCCACGCTATTACTGAAGTACATATGTTATTTAATTTTATTGTCWTAATATTATTTTGTATGTAGGTGCTACCTAAAGTTGCATAATCGTGTATAAAATTATTTTATATCTTAGTACTAGACGAAAAATATAGGAATTTTAAAATAATACATGTTACCACGGGAACACTCAAATTGAATGCAATTATATAAATATTTAATCTGCGTGTTTAAATCGATTAGATACGAATTTYCAGTGCCATCTGCGTGAAATGATAGTGCCGTGGCTGTGGGTGAGCATCAGGTGTATTTTAATTAAGTATTGTGGTGGAGGTTAAGGGTAAAATTCGGGCGGGTGGGCGAAGAGATGGTGGTATTTCATAATAATATATCGACCGCTGGTGGCTGAGGTGGCTTGAGTGGAAAAACAGAGTGGGTCGAGAGTTTTCGGAAAAGTATACAAGTAGGTGTAGATAGGGCGACGGCCGGGCGTGGAGGTGCAGAGGGGCTGGGAGTTAAACGCGGCTGTCGCTAGTCCTACTGACGTCATTGTACCCGACGGGATTTATATTTTATTCAATTTCAAAGCATCATATTTTTATATTTATTTATCTTTAATCCTATTAGACGGTGGACAAATTCAATTTGGAGATGAATTTCTATTACCTATATATTATTACAATGTTATATTATGAATTATGATTAAATAGATTATGCTTATGCACTTACCTATACTTTGATGTTTAGATGGACTATATATGACTTTATATTATATATGAC